AATCTATATTAAAATCTATAGAAAGTCATGCTCTAAATCACAGTTGCCACTAAACAACTGAACTTACCATAGTGGCGGACGGCATAACCTGAATAAAGAAAAGCAATAGGCGCGGTTTTTTAGAATTCAATTAGGATTTCTCAAAGCGGTTCGGCATTAACTTATCTTCTATACTCAGAAAAAGCGTATTGCATAATTTCTTGCAAACAAATTCAGTCACACTCACCAACTTCGTGTTTTTTATCTACTACGAGATCTCTTCGAAGCTGCTCGCTGAGCTTTTCAAATTTTCGGTCCTGTGACTCAAGTGTGTTGCTGATTTCTCGCCATTTTGTTTGTCGCTTTTGGTCATCATTACTTGCCCTTAATTTTGAAATTTTTATAAATAGCAAACTTACAAATCTAATCCTGAGTGATTATATTTTATTGGAGAGCGAGTTACATTGCGCTAAGTCTAATTTCACTTTTTTAATCTATAAAGCAGTTGTGTACTCAGCAGTTGTATATCTAATGAATGGCAATGCTAAACAACATAGTACATACCAAAGCACGAAAGCCTTTCTCAGTTTTCTTCTTGATCGCCTAAAATTTTGATCACGAACATTGTTGTACATTTATTAAGTGTAAACCAGCAAAATATCTTATAACTTCATTGAATGGCAGATCTAATTAAAAGATTGCATAGCTGCTGTATTTGTGATTCTAGTAAGGCTTTTACTAGATGTGACGTCGATCGTAGAGGGCAGTCTTCTGTCTAATTTTAAGGACTTGATGCTCATCCACACTCTTTCACTCTCATATCATACCTTGAATACATCAAGGCCCCCATGAACGACTCACCTGAACGCTGGTGGTTTGCCGGTGGGCAGTTTTTGGTCAGTTAGTCGCACTTGTTGCGTCAACCCAACTCCGTAGCTCGCAGTCGGCCCATTACTGGTTTGCTGTTTACGGCTCAAGATTTCAGCCAAACTCAGCTCAGATTTCGGTTTTGGCGATGGCCTCTCCGCAGGACTTCTTCTGGCCACAGGCGAGAACCGTTCCGATTGCAAACTACTCACATTAACTCTCGTTGTAGTATCAGACTTCAATGGACTGTCCGATCGCTGGGAGTCTGGCGGTGAAATTTGGGAACGATATGCTGATGAATAGTCAGAAAATGACGATTGACTTGGCGGTGTCGGCGACTTCTGGCTGGAAGCTGACGAATAATCAGAATATTTCCGTTCATGACTGGTCGCAACGGTTAGCTCTCCGGGTGGAGAGGGCAATGAATTAGTGGCCGAGTCGCTACGCTGAAAACACTAACACATTGTTCAGGCACGAAAGTATAC